ATATATATACGTATATATATATTAGAAAGGGCAATGTATAATATTTATAACCTAAATAAATAATAATCAATTGCAGAAACATTTATTAATAAGTCATGGTGTAGTTACATCTATACCAGGCGTGGGCAAACTTTTTCACTCGCGGGCCAAAATTTGTCCTAATATTTGACAGTGGGTATTTAGGTTATAAATATTATACATTGCACTGTCTAATATATATATATACGTATATACTGTATATATACGTATATATATTTAGGTTATAAATATTATACATTGCACTGTCTAATATACGTGGGTTTCCCCCAATAGAACCCACCTTGTGATACATGCTGATCCTTCCCACAGACACAGACAAACATGACGACTAGGCTACATATCATTCGGCTGTTATTTCGCTCTCTCCTAGTGACCAAACACGGTCACTTATCAGACACAGACAAACAAGACTATTTGAATATTTGGCTGTGATCATGGTCAGCTCGACCTGTTCTTGACCGTTTCCTGTCTTCCCGCCATTCCCGACGTCTTCCTGCTATTCTGAACTGGCCCCCACATGATGTCAGATAATATTCTCCACCACAACGGCTGGGTCTTGGGACGGTTTGATTTTTGATTTATTTATTTTTGGATTTAGTTTAAAAGCAAGAGGGCAGTGTAGGGGATTTTCACCTGTCACACAGTAGTTCAGTATGACTTTTAAAAAAATAATAAAAATGAATTCATATCTTGTTGTACCATATACCAAATTGTTGTTATACCAAGTACAATTTTACTAAGTCACTCTGGAGTAGCCAAAAAAAAAAAAGCAGCCAAAAAAAATGCATAATGAAGAAAAAAACATACACATATATATAGGTCGCCCCTGAGTATAAGTCGCGCCAGCCAGATAGAGTGCCCTCTAGTGGCTGTCAGTGGGAAAATACCGAACATGTAAATTTTAAGTGGTACAGGAGTAGCAGATATTAGTACACGGGGCCTAGCGTGTCGTAAGTCGGACCTGAGAATAAGTTGCAAACACAACCAAAGCAATGAAAACAAAAAGTGCGACTTATAGTAGTCGCATAAACGTAATTATTTATTCAGAAGGCCCTTTAATTCAACATATACCAGGATGAATTGAGCAAACATTTTACATTTTTATTTTTATTCAGTTTAAGCCACTACAAATGCGTAACGCGCTTGCCAAATGTACGACATCAGACACTGACTGCACCGGGCTGCATTTGAAACCTGTTCGCTTTCATCTCGCTCGAGTATACTTGGCGAAAATCATTTCAAGACAGTCACACTCTAAAAAGCTTCAACCGTCTATTCAAATCTGTTTCATTTCTAACTCCTGGCCTGAGGGCGCTTGACGACCTGTGAGGTGATTAATTACATGTATCTGGTGTCACGTAAATGTATTTAACTCTGATTCGATTTATTGGAGGTAAAATGAACAGGGCTTATTTTCCTCAGGGAAAGGAACCCAGGCTTAGAGACGACAGTAAACAAAGACATGTCTCCACGCATTAGGCAGAAGCTAATGTGTTTGGCATACAAACACACTTTGCAACACTCTGCAAATGCATACAGTGATTCAACCAGTTAAAATAAAATATTGATATATATATTTATTTATGTCCTTCTTAGACATTAGTAGAGGGCAGATTGTGGACATTTCGAATTTAAAAATTGCTGTTTTAATATATACAGCGATCCCTCTCCTCTTTTCATGTCGTCATGAAAACAATGAAATGAGATTGCTTGCTGCTCATTGGGTTAAGAAGATGAGTCAGTTTTTTGCACATGGCTCTTAAGGTTATTGCATATATGATTCATAATTAATAAAATAAATGAATTCATAAAAAATCGATCTATCTATCTACTGTATCTATAGTTTGTTCGTTTGTACTTTCTTCTTCTTTTAGATTATTTCGTCCTTCGCCTGTAAACATTTTTGAATATTTTCAGACAGTATTGTTAGGGCTGTCTTTGTTACTGTTAGTTTCTTAACGTTCGTTTGTTGTTCGTGTCCCCGAGTTTGGAGAAGTCCGTGAATTTTGAGAAAGTCCACGATGGAATCGGAAAAGAACGTGCCTGTAGTCGATGCTTTATTCCTGTGAGTTTTTGTTCCTGCACCTGAAGAGAGTCTCCCTGTTTCCTGAGTATATTATTTCTCAATTTGCACATTATCTGTGAAATTTATCATTCAAACAGAACCATGAATTCCAAAGTGTCTTATGTAAGAGTGAAGCATGTCCACACCATTTTTACAACACTACTAAATCTGCATTGTCTTTGGCTTTTCACTCCGAGTTCTTTTCTTTAAAGTTAGATGTTGGTCATTTTTCCATGGTTTTTATTCTCTTCGAAAGTTATGGACCATTTGAGACCGAGAGTTAACTTTAAACATAGTTAAGGCCAGGATCATTTTTTCATCACATTCCTAGTGTCATTTGGGTCCAGCCTCCAATCAAGGTGAAAGAGAGAAAAAGAGGAAAAAAAAGGGTGAGGAATGTTAAGGGGTGAATAGGAAGGGCTAGGGCACCAGCAACATAAGTCCATTTCCCTTGGCCCGAGGAGGACGGTTTAAATGTTTAACTTTGGACATGAGTCAAAGGTCAGTGCAAACCAGCGTAATAAAAATCGCTATGTCGAGTTGCCCCTCGAAATCACGTGAGGAGCGGTAACAGCGGCGGTAACATCGCTTTATTGACGTTAGCTAAACGAATTCCTCCTACTTCCCCACTGTGCAGTACTTAAATGGGTTGAAGTTGAGATGCGTTTTAGAGGTTTGCGGCATCTGGTGGGCAAAAAAAAAAAAAAAAAAAAAAAAGAATAGCTTGCTCGACCTTAAACTACACAGAGAGAAAGGAAAACCCTGGAAATAACTTGGGCCAAACAATGGCCCACAGGAAGCTCTTCCTCTGAGCATTTAACTTTTATTACACCCTGAATATGCTGCCTGCAGTGTACAGGTGAACAACCCGAGAAGAGATCAAGACAGAGTGCCAAGGAAAGCCCCAAGGAAACAGAACCAGGCATTAATGGACACTAAAAGGGCCCCCGGATCAACAAATGATGAAATTATGAAAGTTTTATTTTCATGTTGTTCTTTGTGGTTCTCTAACCCTAATTGCATTCGCTCTGGTAATGCCCACCAGAGGCCTCTGCTCTTTCATCACATTATCATGATTGGATATTGACTTGGGTTAGCTGGGATTTTCTTTTGTTTGAGCACTCTGATGTCTTTTTTTTTTTTTATTATCTGTCCACAGAATATTGACGTGACCAACTTCAGCAGCAGCTGGAGCGACGGCCTGGCTTTCTGTGCCCTACTACACACATATCTCCCTGCCCACATCCCATACCAGGAACTCATCAGTCAGGACAAGGTATAAAACTGAAGCAAGACTACACTTCCACACTCACACACTCACTCTCCCTAGTGTCACTTTCATCCATTCTCACCCCATTATGTTCCCGGCCGCAGATGCAGGCGGACCTAGATATTTGGATTCTGTCATCACAAGGTCGTAACTTCTGACAAACACATACGCACGCTCGCACACACACACACGCAGTTGTGCATATCTCCATATGAGGGCAGTTCTGTGTTTCTTGTCAGCAGTATCTACTGGGGAGTGACTTACATATACAGTGAACAAGAGATAACACATACAGGGTGATATTGTAAAAGTGTAGTTTATAGTGTATGCAGGTTATAGTTTTTAGTCAATTTTTGTCAATTTTTCTAAAATGGCGATATTGGCCAAACACTTAACTTTTCCAATCCCGATATCGACCGATTTTTCTTCCCCCACAACTGTTTTGAAGTCACGTCACATGCAGTATTTCCCATTGTGGAATTTACATATTGATGATATTGATGCGCCGCTAAAGGCATTCCACAGATTAGCATTGTTTGTACAAAATACATTTCGAAACCCATTCCAGCATATATTTGGTGAAACCAAAGCATTCCATTATTGGGCTTTAAATATTAGAGAAAAACCTGATAACGATCCTTACTGATACTACATAATATTGATCCGATATTATCGGCCATTCCTAGTTTTTGGCCAATTTTTTTATAGTCAAGCGCAGAGGGATTTTAAACACAATGGCTATGTCCAAGTTGCAGCTTTGGTATTGGTGTTGTACATGAAAAAGTTGTATCGAGCCATCCCTAGGTCTTTCAGATGTCTACGTCTAAATAACACATGGGTTAACTGTAGGGTTTAAGTGATTAATATGTTGACTAACAAAGTCAGTTTTGCATAATATGTCCCCTAATACATCCAAAGACAGAGGAAACCCTGAGATTCCATATATGCCGCTCGTGGAATCCTTGTGTGTAACGTATGCTCGTTTGGTGTTTCCTCCTCAGGATCCAGCAGCTGGTTCGATGGTCATCGAAGTTACTGGGACTATGTCCGTGTGGCCTGTGCAAAAGTCCCCAACAGCTGCATCAGCAGCATCGAGAGCATGGAGAACATCAGCAGCTCGCGAGCCAAGGCAAGTCCAACGTACCGTCGTCATCGTTAAAGAAAACACAAAAACCCTACCGTGAGGTTACTATACGAGCGGGGCTCCTCGATGATAAGTCGGGACTCACATACTGTACTTGGTACCTATGTCACTCACCTATGCTAGGACGTGAAAAACAATGGGGAGTCTGACTCATGCCTGGGAGCCATAACGAAGGGCAAAAAGTTACCAAAGAAAAGTTAGCAAAAGTAGCACAATCCAATATATGGCATATAACCAGCGAATGGAAACAAAGACATCTTACGCGTATCACACCGAGACACTGGTTTTCATGCAAACTAGTCGTTGAACAAGACTTTTTTTTTTTTAATAAATTAAAGGGAAATTGCAATGTAATGGACATCTCTTTAGTAACAAGACAAATATATATTTACAAAAAACCCAATCATTGCTATGCAACATATGAAGGCCATCTCCATCAGCCAGATTCTCAAACCCTTAACTTATAAGTTGTTTGCGGGAAATGTGAACGCTATATAGACTGTGGAAATGTCTCCTCATACATTTAGAGGAAAAAACCAAAACCAAAACCAATCCTTTTTTTTTTGATGGTATTATATGTTGTACAGTACATGCATCGATGTCGAGATTTGCATTTGTTTAGTCGAAAGTAATGTGAATGTGGTAGCTCACTTTACAAATAACAGCAGCTCTCTGGAGAATTCTGGCCTCTAAACAATAACATTCTGGAGGGCTATGGAAGTTGGTGACTTGGAATTAAAGCTATCAGAGAAAGGATACGAGATACTAACCCCAACCCCTCCCCCCAACCATCCATAATTATAGGTCCCCCTTTGAGAGTAACCATTTTCCTCAGAATGAATTCAACACAATTTTGGCGTGTTAGCATTCTAATGACTTCAACGTTTGAATTGATGTCAAATGTATAAGCACGTCATTGATTTTATTTTCCACCAGATGAAAGAAATTTATTTTGCAATAACGTGGCATCAATGTCACAAAAAAGTTCAAGGTTGTAGTGTCAAGATTACAGAAGATTACAGTTCATGACATTCAGTTCGTGTCGGAAGACCGCGCAGTATTCCGTCCCAAACTGGAATGCGTGGTATTACGAAGGGCTGTGGTAAACACGTAGATAAGTCACAGATAAAAGCGGCAATAAAACTCAAGTCTCAGACTCAAGTCTGCCCAAACGTTTTAGTTTCTCAAACGAAACAAGATTAGAACTGTCTAAGTTTGAGATGTAGCCTATATTTGGAAGAAAAAAAAAAGTGTTGAGAAGGGGCTTCAGTTTATACCGAATTTGGAATGTTTTTGTGTTGTTTCAAGAAATTCGGAATAAAATGAAACGTGAGATGTTTTTAGATGTTTACCGTTATTTCCGGATTATAATATTCCGCTACTTTTTTCACATGCTTTGAACCCTGCGGCCTAAACAATGATGCGGCTAATTTATGGTTATTTATTTACAGGCTAACAAAGTTCATACCGCTAGCGATCAATGACTTTTGTAGAAAGACAAATTCCTAAATTTTAAATTGTAGTGCTGGAGTTTTCATCAAGCTCCCTCCCGGGGCAAATCTACAGGGGTTCCATTTCTGTGTGGGTTTGATTGATTCAGTGACAGATCTGTTTGTACAAACACTATTCTGTTACACAAACCACATAAACAACAACAAACTGGCCGAAATGATAACAAACAAAAACCTCATTTTGTCTAACTCTAAGGTGTTTTTTAGATGTGTTTGTAGGCTTTTTTTTTTTTTAAACATTTTCCATTTTCAATGGAATGCAATGTAAATACTTGCATTTTTTTTTTCTCCAGGTTGGGAATCTGACCCTGGCTTTTCAGGCTGCCGAGAGCATCGGCATCAAACCCTCCCTGGTGAGTTAAGCTGCCACAGATCTAAGACATACACAAACACGCAGATAACACACACGAACCTCCTGATTAGACTAATTAAAACAAGCTTTACCGACAAAATTTTTTTTTTTACCAGTAAAGATGAATGTGCAATAACAGTGTGCAGTAACCAAAAACTCAGTTACCATTAGTGTTATACTTATAGTTTACTATTATATTTCTATATATATCCAGTATATCCACTATATCAGTATAGTTTTATGTATATGTGTATATATGCATAACTATATATATACATATATGTGTGTATATATATATATATATATATATATATATATATATATATATATATACTGTAATTTCCGGACTATTGAGCTCAACTGAATATAAGCCGCACCCACTAAATTAAAAAAAAAAAAAAGATAATTGTACATATATAGGCTGCACTTCTCTATAAGCCGCAGGTGTTTACGTTGAAACATGGGATATTTATTTACACAAATATTTTTTTTTTTTATACTTTTAATTAAATAAATGCTTGCGACCGCAGTTGTATTTCTATAGGGAGACTTTGTGATCTGCTCCAGGGCCGAAGCTAACATTAGCTCCGGGGCTAACTCCCTGCACTTTGCGCTTGTCCGCAGCAGAGGTAAACAGAAACAGGGAAGTTGGGGTCTTTATTATCAGTCACACCGATCACAACGGAACACAAACAGTGTTTTAACAGCTCCTGTATAACCAACTCACTCTTTTGCTACCGTTCTCTCTCTCTCTCTCTTGCGTGCCCCACACTCATATACGAACACAGCCATTCACAGACAGACATACGCTACAAGCATAACACACAGTAGCCTACCAGAGAAGTCATTGATCGCTAGCGGTATGCACTTTGTTAGCCTGTAAAAGCCGCATAAATTAGCCGCATCGTTGTTTAAGCTGCAGGGTTCAAATCATGTGGGAAAAAAAGTATCCCGCTTATAGTCTCGAAATCACAGTGTCTGTAACTGTTTAACTATGGCAACTCCCTCTATGTGTATATATTGAATTTGACAACGAGGTCGTTTAGTTTCATTGAGCCAAGGTTAATTAAATGCCAGCTACGTGATTAAAACTAATATAGGTATAATGATGACATTCCAGATAAAGACTATACCGACGAAAGCTTATACAGGTATAATTATTTTAAGCTAAATCCTACTCTTGCTATTGCTAATAGATATTGGCAGTTGAAATTGAAGTAATGATAGAGGTTTAGTTCTGGCACCAAAAAGAATTTAATGTAATAGAGGTGCATCATAAATAATTAAAAAACATGCCTGAACTGTTTGAGGCCTGTTGAACTTTACTATTCGGACTCCTTTAAAGTCATTGGTCTTTGTTTGAAGCTGACCTAACGTCATGGAGGTCTGACAGGACAGACTTGAGAAACCAATAGATCACAAGCATGAGCAGGGACCTGAGGAGAATCAAAGAAGACTCTGGTAAAAAAAAAACAATCTGGTATTGCAGAGAAAGCAGACGGACACTTGACGTGACTGACTGATCCTCAATACTGGGGGGCTTCTACCTTACCCACTGAAAACAATGGGAAGGAAGTGTAGTAGACACAAAGCTGTCCATACTTAGACAGACAAGGACTTTCCTCAGTCTGGAACAAGAGGAACTATGATTATTCTCTACGATAGGCTCTGAGGCTAAGGGTAGCTACGCAAAAAAAATTGTATTACTGTAATTTCCAGACTATTGAGCGCATCTGAATAAAAGCATTTATTAAGAATAAAAATAGTAAAAATATAGGCTGCACTTCTCTATAAGCATGAATTGAATTGAATAGTGAAAAATACATGATATTTTATTTGGCTGATTCTGGAATTTACTTGTCTTATACCTCACAAAAATAAATATAAGTAAATTAGAAGTCAATTCTAAATATTTCCATAATACATTGGCGGCCAAATCACACAATCAGATGTTGAAATTGACCAGCGCCTAAGTTATTGTAGCGGTAAGCTAAGTGGTAAGCAACGGCAGGAGAAAGCGGTGAAAGGGGGTTTTCCCAAAAATATATTTTTTATCATTTATTATGATGATATTATTATACATTTTTTTCTCGGAGACATTTCTCGTCCACAGGTCCCAGTGTCCCCTTCACATTTATTTGTCCTCTCGAACCACCGTTGCTGTCACACAACACACGTCCAACATTATAACCGTGACCACAGACCACCCTGACCACAGATTCTCGTACAGTCTCTACTGTACGAGATCAGGCCAGAAAACTAGATGAATGACTTCCTTTGATAAATGAAACTTTGAGGTTGCAGATTTCCTGTGTGGTGCTTCAGTGAAATGCAAACCAAATAACAGAGCGGCGCATAGACATTACAACACTTGTTTTAGACTAAAATAATATGCTTGCTAATAGAAACTCATTTTAAGTGAGTGTTTAAGCGGCCTATCTGCTGCTAGAAAGAAAATATTTTTTTTGGTTATATTTTTGATCATCTTTGGATAACATATCTTAATGCCTTTTTATTAAATCTCCATTTAAATTTAGTTTCATGTTCACATGTTTCACCATAGGGAGATCCATGAATAACCGTGAAAGGTGACAATGATTTTTGCTTCAAAATCATAACCCTGCCGTATGTGGGTATGTTTATAGCATTGCCCTCTCTAGTATCAGCTCAGGGCTGAAAGGTCACACATTTAGAGATTTCTTCTGAACTCTCTAAATACGTTTCCTGATGCCTTTATATCAGTCTACTAGCTAGGTTTGGATGACTTTCTGTACACCTGTTGTTTGTTTTTGTATTTACAGAAAGATGCACTACGTGGTCTACAAAGCTTGTTATAGGCCAAACCACAACATGTTGCACTGAATCATCTAACGTAGGCGTTCTTATTTGCCACTTCCTGCTTTGATATTATTGCTAGGAAGCTTTAGCATCATGTGCTTCTGTTTGCACTGAGCTCATATACTGTTCCTGCGGGGGGTTGTGTTGTATCATTTGTTGCTAGAGTTGTTTGAGCTCATCAATGTATCAGGAGGTTTGGATGACTTTCTGTTTATTTTAAAAAAAAAAAAAAAACAAAGTTTCCCGTAATTTCCTTAAACAATTACGGGAAACAATGATGCGGCTAATTTATGGATTTTAACGGGCTACGAAAGTCCATACAGCTAGTGACGGTCGGCTACTGTGTGTTCTACTAGTAGCGTATGTCTGTCTGCGAATGGCTGTATATGTGCGTGGGGCGCGTGCGAGAGAGAGAGAACGGTAGTGAAAGTTGAGAGCAGTTTGAGCCCTGTCATGTCGAAAGCGAGCTTTGGTTATACAGGGGCTATTAAAACACTGTTTCTGTTCCATTGCGATCGATGTGGCTGAAAATAAAGACCCCAACTTCCCTGTTTCTGTTTACCTCTGCTGCCGACAAGAAGTGAAGTAGGGAAGTGAAGGGAGTTAGCCCCGGAGCTAATGTTAGCAACAACCCTGGAGCAGATCACTAAGTCTCCTCTGTGCATTCCAACTATGGTCATGGCTCCGAAGCAGGAAAGAGCTAACGTGTAACCAACCGTGTTACAGACGCTGGTCAGAAAAAAAAAAGCATATATTTCATTAAAAGTGAATATGTAAATATCCCATGTTACAACGTGGACACCTGCGGCTTATAGAGAAGTGTGGCCTATATATGTGCAATCATTTTTTTCTTTTTAAATGTAGTGGGTGCGGCCAATATCCAGGTGTGTACAATAGTCCAGAAATTACGGTAATTTGTGTGACACCTTTAGTCTAACTCTAGTCTAACTCAGCAAAGGCAAAATCCTTTCCCTCTGAAAAATATGTAGGTTCAACAGACCTAGAAGCAGAGGTGTGGACTCGAGTCTCATGACTTGGACTCGAGTCAGACTCGAGTCATCAATTTGATGACTTTCGACTCGACTTGACAAAATGTAAAGAGACTTGGAACTCGACTTGGACTTTAACATCAATGACTCGTGACTTCACTTGGACTCGAGCCCTTTGACTCGACAAGACTTGATACTTTCTCCGAAAACCCGAAGATTATAAAGTAAAATATTAAGGAGCGCTCTGTATCTCTCATTGTGTACCTGTGTGCGTCTGTGTGTGTATGTGCTGTCGGCACAACATCCAATCAAATTAGACCCACGTTGTTTTGACGCGATAATATCGAGCCAATCAAATTGCGGGACAACCAATGAGAAAGATCTGTCGAACAATGCGCGGGTGAGAGAAAATGATACCAAAGATCGTGTTGTTCGGATTTAAAAACTACGAGATGGTCAACAAAAAAGGAGTGGCAGTGAGTGGAAGGACTTGAAAGGGCTCGAAACAGAAACGGCAGGACTTGGGACTTGACTTGACTCTTTTCAGTCTTGACTTGGGTTCGACTCGGACTTCGCCTATTTTGACTTGAGACTTGATTCGGACTTGAGTGCAAAGACTTGAGACTTGCTTCGGTTTGTACATGCACAATTCATGTTATTAGTCTGACTCTGTTTGTCAGTTACTGGTGTCGGAAATCTATCCATAGACTTTTTTTTTTTCCCCCCAACAGGACATCGAGGAGCTGATAAAGACTGACAGGCCAGACTGGCAGAGCGTCATGCAATACGTCTCTCAGATCTACAAGTACTTTGAGACATGACAGGTGAAGGTGAAGGACTGGAGGCACTGCAGCACTTTTTGCTCCCCATAGCTTAATGTTCACCTTGGACACAGATTAAAGACCACTGTTCGGACGCTCATTGACCTAAAGGCCTGTTTGGTATGCTGCTTGTTTTGTTTGTCGCTAACTCGAAGCCTTTGTTTAACTGTGTTGATGCTCATGGCCGAGGCCACAGGCTGCAGTGATGGGACAAAAACCCCAATTTAAAAAAATGGATTGACTTAAAAAGTGATTTTTTTTTTTTTTTTTTTTTTCAAAAACATTTCGCCGATAATAACAACTCAGGAGGATGTGACATTGGATTAAAAGTTCAAATATAAAGGTTAATATTTCAATATTTCTACTTCCTGTTAGCTCGTGATGCTAACACATGTAGCTCATAGCCTACATCATGTAAATACTAAACAAGCTTGTTACTTGTTAAGTATAGAACTGCCCAAACCTAACTCCTAAAAAAAAAACATAGTTATAAAGGAAGTAAGCTTTTAAAGGGCTCCTGCGCTTAATTTAACATTTTTCATCAAACTATCTATATCCAGTTGTACTGGAAGTGTTTCAGAAATGTGTCTATATTTTGCATGCTTGATAAATTATGGAGAATATTCTCTTTCATGTAAAAGGCAGGAGGCACAGCATTTTTTTTTTTTTTTTTTTTTGTGGTTAAGTTGAACCTCAGCGGTCCCTGTTTGGAAGATTAAAGAGTCTTCAACTGTTTACTCGCGAGGCGTGCGGCCTGAAAAGCGGGAATGTGGAAAGAACTGAATCGTTTTCTATTTACAGATACCCTTTTGTTACAACTTGGATGACGAGTAAAGGGATATCAAGTTTGCAAATTTTGTATGATTGCAGTCCCACGCGGTGTCATGATTTACATCATAGTTTACTTGTCTGGATGTGATCTAAATTGCGAGCCTACTGTGATATATCGAACTTGCCAAAAATGTAAATATTATCATCCTAGATTTGGTTATTCTTCGTAAATGTTACATAAATGAGACTATTTGGGTGACTTTTATTTCTTTGAACCCCCAAAATAATATATCAAAATAATAATATTTATTGTTAGCCCCCAAAAACTAATTACTTTATTTTACTTTACTATCTGGTGCAATTGTGTTTTGGTGGTTACAGAAGTGGACTTTCAGGTTTGGGTTTCAGGTTGAAGCCTAGTCGTTGTGTGCAGTGGTGTGCTGTGTCACAATGTCAAATATTATCTTAACACTCAAACCCATGTTATGTGAGTAGGAACGTAAAGTAAAGTAAACTATATTATATCTGAAGGGTAATTCATTTTTTCAGTTAGCGGAAAATAATCTATTTACAAGTGATTATTGTGACTTGGGGCCTTGATCAGAACTTTAAGGAGAATTTTATCGGAGCTTTTAAGGTTTTTTACTACCAGGTTCAGGGAATGTGACTCAAAACCAGCGCGTAAAAGAAAAAAACAAGAATCTGATCTGTCATCATGAAAAATGAAAACACAGCTAGTTCTTTGCAAGATCGCAGTATTAAAAAAAATTCTATATTACATACCTGGACAGAAGAAAAAAATATGCACAATTCCAGTCATTTTTTTAAAAATAAATATTAAGTTAGCCCCAGTTTTTAACTTTTCTGCTATATCGATGTTGCCCATGTTTGGATACAAACAATCCAAGGGCAGTTATATCCGCAGTGAAGCGCTGATGTGGAAGTCGGACGCTGTCAGGGTCTTTGTGACGGTGAAAGGATCTGTCAGCATTTGGAACATGAACTCATGTTTAGCAGATTTTGGATTTGGTCATCTTTGCCTTGTCAACACTGGGATTACTCAGTGCATGTCTTAAGACTAGTGATGAAATACTGTAGATCCCGAGGGTGAAAACATCTTGCTCAAATTCCACGGAAAAAATAGCACAATCAGTGACGTGTTGGCCTCTGTCATTGGTGTGGAACCCCAGGGTTCACCTCCTGGGCAAGTTCGAATTCTGGTTAGAACTGTTGGCACCTTACAGTGGTGGTTCAGGAGGGTTGATTCCGGTCCAGTGTCATTTGGGTGGCGACTGCTGCCCCCGCGACCCGGCAACGGATAAGCGGATGAAAATGGATGGATGGAATAGCATATTGAATTGAAGAGCATCAAATCTTGAAGGAGTCTAAGGGACAGATTTTTTTTTTTAAATTGATTTTTTTGTAGCTGATGTTTTTTTCTGTCTGATAAACTGCCTGTTTTAAACCCACTTAAAGTATATGCACCAAATCCAGTGGTGAAGTACTATTTTTTTTTTTTAAACCCACTTAAAGTATATGCACCAATCCGGTGGTGAAGTACTATTTTTTAAAAAAAAAGAAATACTTACTTATTACTATTGCTCATTTTCTCCAGAAAGGTCTTGCTCACCCATTCACCCCTAAATCACGGGTGGGCAACAACCCCCAGGACATTTGTCAGATTAAAACCAGATGCAGCCCACTGCCGCGTGTGTGCGCTCACTTTACACACAAAACGGTCTATTTACGTTCCAGGACAAGGCTGTTTAATGCGCGCAATTAAGGACGCAGCTGCAAAGACGCTGACTCGTGTTTCCGTCCGTAACTTGTCGTGTGGTTATGACAGGGGAGGGGCATTTCTGTGAAAGTCGGACTACTACTACCACCAGCCGTGTCGTCCTCTCCTCTCCTCCTCCTCCTCCTCCTCCTCCTCCTCCTCTCTTCTACATTTCAAAACTGCTGTCGCGGGGGAAGTTGTGCCACAGTGAGCGTTCGCTTCAGAGCCACGCGTGCCGCATACGTCATTCAGAAATCGGTGCACAAGAGGCGCGAAAACATCCAGAGACAATGTTCAGGTTTATTAGGCGCTTCAAACGGCAGAAGTGTCAACTTTGTGATGGGGAAATAACGCGTGGGCTCTTCTCCACTGCACAAGGCTGACTGTGCAGCTCCCACTTGTGGAATACTTGACAGCAATTCTTCGCCTCGGTGAGAGTAGAGACGGCGTCTCTTTGCTGCGAACAGGTCCTTTAAGTCCTTCAACACACTTTGCTGAGATGTATACGTTCTATGTCTTTATTGAAGTAGTGATTGCTGTTCTCTCAATATCCGGCAACGTACTGGTTTGCTGGGCTGTCGCCATCAATACCACTCTGAAAAACGCCACCAACTACTTTCTGGTGTCTCTGGCTGTGGCTGATATTTTGGTCGGTTGCCTCGCAATCCCGTTCGCCATTACCATCAGCATCGGCATAAATCTGGACTTCTACGGATGCCTCTTCCTGGCCTGTTTTGTCCTGGTCCTGACCCAGAGCTCAATCTTCAGTCTTTTGGCCATTGCAATCGACAGATATTTGGCTGTGAAAATTCCTCTGAGGTGAGTGTTCTGCTAATCTGTTACAGCTAATTGTTTTACGAGTTAAGAAACCGTAGGCTAACAAAGTCACCTCAAGAAAAAGTGTTAATGTCTACAAAAAAAGGTTTGTGTTTATCTGTTCTAAGTGATAGAGAAATACATATATACTATATAATATTTTACAATTATCACCAAGAACTGTACCACCAGTTCATAATAACTTTTCAGATGTTGAAGCATCATAGAAGCATTACCAGAACCCAAATTGCAGAGAGAAAAGGGGATTGATTTTTTTTATTATTTTTTTATTTTTTCAAAAATTGCAGACAAATATTTAAAAACAGAGTAAATTCTTCTGCTTTGCAAACGGCAGACCAAACCCTAAGAGCATCATGAAGTCTGTAGTGTCCTCAGTGAAACATTTACATTCAGGGTGTTGGCATGAATGTCTGTATAAGATTAAATATTACAACTGTTCACGAGCCTTGCATGATTCATTTCCAGTGAAACTAAGCATCCAGTCGAGTGTATCGGTTTACTACAAAGTAGTAGGTCCGGTAGTTGGCTGAATATTTATTTAACTTTGAGCATTTCATTTACAGTCAGTCTACTTCTCCATTCTACCATGTCAAATACATTGACAGTGTGGCAGGATTCTACAAAAGTAGGAAACAGCAAAAAAAAAAAAAAGTTGATTAATCCTGAAATGACCTTTTTTGGTACGTCGACCAATAATCACAGTAATACATAGGATTCTGAAAAAGTCTTTAAAAATAAAAGTTTGTCCAAATACACAGCTATGCCCTTTTTATGTGTATATATATGTATATATGTATGTATGTATATATATGTATATATGTATGTATGTATATATATGTATATGTATGTGTATATATATATATATATAGTACGATGTCCTGAAAAAGTATATTTTTTTCGGAATTTAACATATATATATATAGTTTTGTATTTTTTACTTAATTTCATCTGGATGAAAGTATCAAGTGCTCATGGGGCCGTTTTTAAAGCACCCCCTTGTTTTCACTATTTTGGACTAGCCCAACTCACATCCAGATAGGTTGGATAATATACTGGAACTTCTAGGTCTGGTAGTTTTGCTGAATATTTTATTTAATTTTGAGCATTTCATGTACAGTCCGCCTGCTCTACATTGTCAAAGACATCGACAGTGTGGCAGCATTTGACCAAAAATAGATCATGGAAAAGAAATCGAAATCTCACGCGACTAAGACTTTCCTTGGTTGATTACAGCCTTAGGTGGAACATTGCTCTGCAGTAAATGTGAATACCCTATGAAATGTTATGCACATTATGGGCAGGGTTAAAGGGTTAAAGGTTGCCCCGTGACCTATTGTGCAAAGGTCCAGTCGGGTTTAGAGATAGTGATAATTGTAGGAGCAGAAAAATGTTGATGTCGATGGTGTTTCTTAGCAAGAATTTGTGATAACTCACGCAAAGACACCATGATCTGTCACGTTATCTGCACGGTTGTGTGGCTCATCTGGCCGCAGTATGTCAATTTCATTGATGGCAAAGGTCAGAAATGTGAACGTGTGTGCATCTGTGTGTCTGTTCCTGAGGAAACAGAACGAGGCGGCCGCAGCACGCAGCACTGCTCAATGATTTCATTAAGTAAACATCGAATCTTTATCACCGGATGAGTGCCATTTTGCCTCAACAAAGGTTTGAATAGTTGACTTTAGTTTTTTTTTAACTGTCAGAATTCCATGTGTTCCGAGGGCAATTTTTCCGATTTTCACAGCAATATAGCTCTACTCCATAATGTATTTATGCATGTTTCTGCGAATTTCAGCTTATTTATTCAAGATACAAATATTGTACATTGCTCTGCATAATAATAATAATCATCATAATAATAATCTATTTAAGAAAATCAGCAGTATAGATTTTGTTATAAGGTACGATTAATTGGCGGGCCACACTTGGCCCTTCTTGTCAATGGTTCTGTTCCCTTCACCCATGGTGAATGGTGAGATGACAAGGTCCAGCAAAGCCCTTGGTGGATGTGACCTTTAAGAAAAAAAAGGTAAAGGAAGGTCAGAGATGAAAGACCCTTCAACTAGAAACAAACCCACTCTAAAGCAGCGGCCCCCCAAACCTTTTTCATGCCACATACCTGTTAATTGTCTGACAATTTTTTTTCACGAACCGGCGGATGTGGCAGATAAATACAACTAAATATAATGATACAACCAGCATAAAAAATGGTATTTTCTAGATATAATAATAGATGTTAAAGATGGAAGCAACTTTATTAGTAGCGTCCTTGTAACATCGCGCTTGTCTCTTAATGCAGGACGCTTGGTCTCCAAAACACTTGTCGCAATAAATCCATATTTCAAGTACGATTCCTGGAACTGTCTGTTAAATGCAGCTTATTTTTTTTTCCTTGAAGACGTAGGCTCTCTTACCCTCACTGGCTCTTTTACCCTTCGCAAAGAAACCTTCCATAGATGTTTGTTTTTGGTTCATTTTGCTAGCTTAGGGGTTTTTAAATTTAGCCGTCTTGTATTATGTGTTACCGGCCGTAGCAGACCTTTGAAGAAGGTAGCCTACCTAGATGTAGGTCAGACATGTGACCAAGGCAAGCATCTTGACATGTATTAAGTGTCACAAACAGATGCGGCGGACAGAATCTGGAGAATTTTCAAAATAAAACGTTTAGAAAATTAAATAATAAATAAAACGAAAGTAATGTACCAATTGACTCACGGACCGGTGCTGGTCCGCAGACCAGGAGTTTGGGAACCACTGCTGTAAAGGACAGGTGTGCAATTGTGCTGTTGTTGAGCAGTAACTGTATTATGACATTGCCGAATAATGTCAGTTATGTGATCTGAGAAAAAAAAAAAAAACTCTAGTTGCCATTTTTAATTCAATTAAGTTTTAATTAAGCACTTTAATTAAAACGTACATGTCAACAGGTTCAGTAGAAGGGAGGGAAGAAATGGCCAGATTAATTTCTTATGAAATTAGAGCCGTAATCCCATCTCAGTGACAACCCATTTTGATTTTCTGTAACATGGATTGTTACGGGCTAACAATTTTGACAGGCTAACGAAGTTCATACCGCTAGCGATCAATGACTTTTCTGGTAGGCTACTGTGTGTTATACTAGTAGCGTATGTCAGTCTGTGAATGGCTGTGTGCGTACATGTGCGACAGGTGTGCGAGAGAGAGAGAACGGTAGTGAAAGTTGAGAGCAGAAAGTTGAGTCCTGTCACGTTGACGCGTGAGTTGGTTATACAGGAGCTGTTGAAAAACTCTGTTTATGTTCTGTTGTTCCAGAAATAACGGTGAAAGTATCTCTTCTTTGCCTAAATTCTACACAACTAAAAGTACCTATCTTAAAATCTACTTGAGTAAGAGCAACAAATTGAAAAATTTATAACATGGGCGTGTTTTAAGCTAGCTAGTTAGCTTGGAGTCTGGATGTCTGTATGCTAGTTTTTACTGTCAAATCCCATCAATATTGCACAATTCTCCTAATTCCAATTAGGCCTGATGTTATTACTTTTGGATTGAATTATTTATTTACTTTTTTACGAGGAAAGATGTGGTTGCAGTCTGTTTGAGTTGAGTATTTCTGCAAAGCATTGTGAGCACTGGACTGTAAGTAAATGAGTTTGACACTCACTCATGTTCTAAAAATCACATTTAATATAGGCATTGAACATCAGCGTCAGTCCAGTCAATTTGAGAGGAATAAGACAGAACCAAAAATATTTCTACATTTTATCCCTCAACAAGAAAATGTTTAAACCTGAGAATGGAAAAGATTTGCTTCCTACGGCTCAACTCCATGTTTGAGAGTTGTGCCGTAAAAAGGAATAAAAAGAACTACTTGTTATGCAACCCATCTAAGGTGATTGTAAAGTGCTGCCATTTCTAGGTGTCCTGAAAGAATGCGACAGATGCTCAGACACTTACAGTAACAATCGTATTTGTGATCAGAATTTTCAAATATTTGCCAGGTGCACCTTCTGTATTTATAGCCATGCAGTTCTTACTCGCCAAATCTTGATTTTTTTTTTTGTGTTGTTTGTTTGTTTATTTTTGGTTCATTTTGCTAGCTTAGGGGTTTCAATTTAGCCCTCTTGTATTATGTGTTACAGGCCGTAGCAGACCTTTGAAGAAGGTAGCGGATGTAGCTCAGACATGTGACCGAGGCAAGCATCTTGACGTATTATACAAACATATATGTAGCTCAGATTTTGACCTTCAGTAAAAAAAAAAAAAAAAAAAAAAAATTAAACTTTAAATTCTGATGCTTTAATCAAAGGTTGTCTATCAAAATGATAAGAAAAAAAATCTTTTAGGCCAAAAATGTTATGAAATACTTGGATTTTTTTTTCTACTTATTTTTAAAAAAACAAAAACGTAAAAGCATTTTTAGCCTTACCTTAAACCATTTTTAGCCTTACCTTTACTTGAATAGATGAAGTCCAAGCGGTGACTTTCAATTGCCTGTTAAAGCCAGCAATACAACTAGAAAGCACCTGTGGGTTCAGGTACGCCCCCTTGAGGTGAGGCAGAGTACTGCCTGCCTCCCCTGCTGACATTTCTCTGCATTTTATTGTACGATCAGCAGAGACAATTCTCTCGCACATATACATTAAAGACATTACACAGACTGTAGAGAGACATGCTGTATAACAAATATTTCTGTAAAGTTCATATTGGTGACATGCTGAGGAACAGTGACGGCCACGTGTCGTACGACCCAGTTTTGTATTGGATCTCATATTGGTGATATGCTGAGGAACAGTAATGGGCACGTGTCGTACGACCCAGTTTGTATTGGATCGCGCTGTCAGATATGATATCAGATATTTGATCGCGAAATACTCCAATTCAGCGATTTTTACTTCATAAAATGTCAAAAATGTGTAGCCATACCGAAAATGTATCTTTAACACAGATCAGTGGAAAATATTAATATTTATTTCATGTACTTGTTCTCTTTCTTATAACGATGG